CTGCCTGCTCCTTCTCCTAACACTGAGCAGACAGGGGGCCTTGCTGTCTCACCTGTCCGTTCTGGTCGTTCCAGTCGTCGTGTTCCTCGTCAGCGTCAGCCGGCTGTCCCCGGCCCTTCCCTTGTAGTCCGTCGTCCTTCCTCTCCTCCGCAGCGTGTTCCTCTGCCGTCTCCTCCTGCGTCTTCTCTGCCTGTCGTTACGGACCCTGAGTCTGACCGGTTTCGTGCTGAGCACCCTACTGTCACGCGTCTGCTAGCCACTGTAGTCACTGACCCGTCGTTTGAGTCTACTGCTGCGTCTGCCTTTGTCGCTGAGCTGGTTGACTTTGCTGCTGCCTGTCGTCTAGACTACGCTGCTAGTCTTGTTGCTGAGTCTGAGTCTGTCTGTCCTCCGTCCGTCGGGGGTGCGTGTGCTCTTAGCACGGACGTCCTTGAGGACAGGCAGGAGGACCCCGAGTGTCTTGCGGCCGCTGCGCCTCATCTCGTGGCCATGCTGCTTGCCCCTGAGGGCGACCCGAATGCACCAGACATCCCGACCCCGTGCTCTTACGCTGAGGCGATCGCGGGTGAGTACTCCTCTCAGTGGCAGACAGCCATGGACGCAGAGATGGCATCCTGGAAGTCCACAGGCACCTACGTTGACGAGGTTCCCCCTCTTGGGGCGAACATCGTCAGTGGCATGTGGATTTTCAGGGTAAAGCGGCCGCCAGGTTCTCCGCCTGTCTTCAAGGCTCGTTACGTTGCTCGTGGTTTCAGTCAGCGAGAGGGAGTTGACTTCTTCCAGACTTTCTCCCCCACCCCGAAGATGACCACTCTTCAGGTGCTGCTGCACGTTGCTGCTCAGCGTGACTACGAGCTTCACTCTCTTGAATTCAGCACAGCTTTCTCGCAGGGCAGCTTGCACGAGGAGATCTGGCTGCGCCGCCCACCCGGCTTCACTGGGTCGTTCCCTCCTGGTACCCAGTGGAGCCTCCGGCGGCCGGTTTACGGTCTCTGCCAGGCGCCACGTGAGTGGCACGACACACTGAGGATGACACTTGCAGCTCTTGGGTTTGCTCCTTCGACTGCTGACCCGTCGCTGTTTCTGCGCACCGACACCTCTTTGCCGCCGTTCTACATCCTCGTGTACGTCGACGACTTGGTCTTTGCCACTGCTGACACTGCTGGACTCGCCCACGTGAAGTCCGAGCTGCAGAAGAGACACACGTGCACAGACCTGGGTGAGCTGCGCAGCTACCTTGGCTTGCAGATCACTCGGGACAGAGCACGCCGCACCATCACACTGACTCAGTCACACATGGTGCAGCAGGTCCTTCAGCGCTTCGGCTTCACCTGGTCCTCAGCACAGCACACTCCTCTGGCTACGGGTCACTTGCTCTCAGCTCCACCTTCGGACGAGTCGGTAGAGCCGAGTGGTCTTTACCCAGAGCTAGTGGGCTGCCTCATGTACTTGATGACCTGCACTCGTCCTGACCTTGCGTACCCTCTTGGCCTTCTGGCTCGCTACGTGGCTCCTGGTCGGCACCGAAAGGTGCACATGGATGCTGTTAAGAGGGTACTGTGCTACTTGTGCAGTACATCGGGCATGGGGCTCGTGCTTGGAGGGAGGAGTCCAGTTGTCCTCACTGGGCACTCAGACGCTTCTTGGGTTGACGACCAGGCTACACAGCGGTCGTCACAGGGTTACACGTTCAGCCTTGGTTCCGGCTCTATTTCTTGGCGGTCTACACGCTCGTCTTCTGTTCTCAGCTGCAGTTGTGAGGCTGAGATCTACGCCATAGCCATGGCTGCATAGGAGTTACGCTGGCTCACCTACCTGCTGACCGACCTGGGAGAGCGGCCTCGTTCTCCTCCATTTCTGTACGTAGACAACAAGGCCGCCATTGCCTTGTGTCAGGAGCACAGACTGGAGCACAGAACGAAGCACATCGCTCTGCGTTACTTCCTGGCTCGAGAGTTGCAGCAGCGGGGTCAGCTTCGCCTTGCTCACGTGGCCACTCAGGCCAACACTGCTGATATATTCACCAAGGCACTTCCGTCTGGTGGCCATCAGCGCTTTTGTACTTTGTTGGGCCTTGTGCCTACGTTTCCACACTTGCTGTAGACTCTGCTTGTACTGTGATCTATACATATATATACCTGCACGGTTGCTCTTGCTAGCTAGAGATCACTGTGCTGTTCTTGTTGCTTATATACTCTGCATGTGGACTGGCCTTGTGGCCGTTTGCTTGTGCTCAGTGTGTGTGGTGACGTTTTGATCCACCCTGAGCTGTGTTTTGTTTCTTCTCTTGACTGGTCTTGTGACCGTTGCTTGCTCTGGCTTTCCCCCATTTCGCCTATGGGGGTGTGTCAAAACATATGCATATCATTATCTAGGCTATATTGGGGCTAGCCTTAGAGGGTACAGAAACTTTCTCGACACTCTAGCCTTGTACCCCAACCTTGACCTAATCTCATCATTCTTGCCTTAGTTCTTAACATTGCTCGCCAAGGGTTTTATCCGACCGAGCACGTCACCGTTTGCAGCACCGATACCGTTCACGCCGAAGAAGGCCGGGGGCCTTGAGGCGTACCGGTAACACCAAGGCATCAAGTCACACTGATTCGGACTTTCCAAGTTGTAGGTGGTATAAGAAATGGAATGCAGGTACAGGGGTGTTCGGGCCAAGATTCCTGCAAAGAGCTCAACTCACACTAGTTAACCTCTCTCGGTTGAGACTCGAACCTGAGTTCTTACCGGTAGCAGGCCGGAATCTTAGACCACTACGCTAATAGCACTGTTTGCGTTGTTTAAAGCCCGGGTACAGCATGGTAATTTTCAAGTTCAAGATTCTTGAACTTGAAATCGCAAAAAACAGGGTTACCCTACTTGTTTTGAAGAAATCTCGCAACCCCAGGCAATCGTCCTGCGACAACGGAACCCGAGTGCCCAAAAACAGAACTGACGCGAGTGCCCAAAAACAGAATCGCCCAAAAACCCTAAACCCTAAACCCGAGTGCCCAAAAACAGAATCGCCAACCATATGCACTGTTCACCACTCACATAACTTGCTTACCAAGTCGTACTCATAGACTAGGAGGCTCCAAGACAAAAACTAGCGCTAGTTGGCAAAAGCGAGTCGTTGTTAGGGCTTTTTTTTTGTGCGGAAAAAAAAATAGGTATCCAACTCAACCATCTTAGTCAGTGCACGCTCCGATTTCCCCCTCACGTCGCCGGTCTCGTGTTACAACCCGTTCACCCGCAGCACTTACGTTAGTGAACAGTCGTCGCGTTACTCGCGCCTTGCTTTCAAGCTCGCGTCGCACAAGATGCTCTTTTCACACTTGCTGCGGTTCAGCCTCGCGACCCGATCGTACCGTTTTAGGCACGGGTCGCTCACGCGAATGCCGTACAGGGTCGCCAGACGCGCGCTGCCGTTAGTCTCATATGTTCCCCCTCGTCGGCCGCTCTTTCCCACGTCATACCGCTTTCCTCGTCGCCCGCAATTTCCCTCATCTCCCTCGCCGACCCTCGCCGCCCTCGCCTCTACTTGTCGCCCGCGCTTCCCGTCGTCGCCCTTGCTTCCCCGTCGCCCGTGCTTCCCGTCGTCGCCCTTGCTCTCCCGTCACCCGCGCTTCCCGTCGTCGCCCTTGCTCTCCCGTCACCCGCGCTTCCCGTCGTCGCCCTTGCTTCCCCGTCACCCGCGCTTCCCGTCGTCGCCCTTGCTTCCCCGTCACCCGCGCTTCCCGTCGTCGCCCTTGCTTCCCCGTCACCCGCGCTTCTTCTCATCTCTCGCTCTCCTCCTCAACGTCTTCGTTTTCCTCGTCGCCATAATGCCCTCGCTTCTGCCCGTCGCCCTCGCCTCCCCACATACCCGCCTCCATCTCCCCCACATACCACCCGCCTTCCTCCCCACATTCTATTCCGCTTGTCATACGCTCTTCTCCTCTTCCTCCCATCCATCTCTCCCTCCTCCCTCTCCCTCTCTCTATCTCTCTTTCTTCGAACCTCTCTCTCACCCTTTCTTCCACCCTTCTTCCTCCTGAGGGGAAGGGACTGAATGAGAGACACAGAGGGGATAGGACAGAAGGGTATGCAGATGTTCTTTTCCCCCACGCGCTTCCCCTCATTGCCCTCACTTCCCCCAAATTGTTGCCCCCTGTCTCTGTTTTTCCCAACCACCCGTTCTCCCACCAGCCCTGCTCCCCCCTTTGCCCTGATTCCTTCCACCCTCTGCCCTGCTCCCCCCCATCCCCTTCCCTGCTTCCCCCCACCCTCTGCCCTGCTCCCCCCATCCCGTTCCCTGCTTCCCCCCACCCTCTGCCCTGCTCCCCCCCATCCCCTTCCCTGCTCCCCCCCACCCTCTGCCCTGCTTCCCTTCATCCCATTCCCTGCTTCTCCCCACCCCCTGCCCTGCTTCTCCCCATCCCCTTCCCTGCTTCCCCCCATCCCCTTCCCTGCTTCCCCCCATCCCCTTCCCTGCTTCCCCCCATCCCCTTCCCTTCTTCCCCCCATCCCCTTCCCTGCTTCTCCCCATCCGCTTCCCTGCTTCCCCCCATCCCCTTCCCTGCTTCCTCCTACCCTCTGCCCTGCTCCCCCCCATCCCCTTCCCTGCTTCCTATGTTGGCAGATACGCTCTTGAAAGGCTGGCGTATCACGTATATTCGCTAGCGTATATGCGTGATACGCTGATACGCTCTGAATTCGCGAAAATACGGCCGGGCAGCCCGGCGAAAAAAAAAATCCGAAATTGAAAAACTTCGCGACGATGTGCGAAGTCGCGAAGTGTTACCGCGACTTCGCTCATGTGCCCAACCCCACTTCTGAACTTCGAATTTCAAAATCCAAACTTTCCCACCCCCTCAACCACACATCACCCCACCCAACCTCTCAGTCCCAACCACCCCCTTCAAATGTTCTTCCATCGTTTGCACGTATAGGTCGACGTTGCGCAAATGCTCTTCCATTTCCTTCCCGCATTTCTCCACTCTTCTTCGTTAGTTAGACTTACGTAGTGCGCCATGGCGTCGGGCTCAGCTCCTAGTACTTCGACGAACAACAATCCAGCCTCTGTCCATGACTCTACTACCGTCAACACGGATCCTGTTGAGGTTGGACTATCTCACCCCATTCTGAAACATTTCCTCATTCCGTTTCACACCAAAGGCAACCCCAAGCTGTGCAAGTTCTGTGGCAAGAAGTTCGAGGGCGGAACAAACCGCTGTGCAATCCATCTCGCGACATGGAAAGGGCAGGAGAAGCACGCTGTGGCGTTATGCAAGGACGCGCCCACGGCAGTCCGCGATGAAGTCCGTGGCATGTACGAGACCAAGGCGGAACAGCAGGACTTGAAGCGAGAGGCGGCCGCTGCTGCAATTCACTCCGCGCTTGACGCTGTCAGTGGAAACCCGGAGAAAAAGAGCAAAATTACGGATTTCTTTGGCAATGAGGCGACGTGCGCCAAGGAGGACGCGGATAACGCGCTTTGCCTTCTGTTCGCGGCGGTGAAACTTCCGGAGCGCATTGCGAACGATCCGGTCTTCCGCTACGCGGTCCAGTGCATTGCGCGCGCTGGACCTGGGTACGTCCCTCCTAAGAGGCGCTACATTGGAGGGGCAGGCTTGAAGAAGGTGCGGCAGAAAATAGAAGTCGCGTTCGCCCCCGTTGCCGCGAGCTGGAAGCGGGACGGGGTAACGGTGTCGTCGGACATGATGACCGACCGTTGTGGCCGCCCACAGGCCAACGTGCTCCTTGTCAACGACTCCGGCGCAGTTTTCGAGCAGGCGGTGGACTGCAACATGGAGTCGAAGACCGGGGGGTACATCGCCAGCCTTCTCCGCCCCGTCATTGATAAGGTGGGGCCGGAGAATGTGGTGGCGGTCTGCACCGATGGCGGCAGCAACTATGCATCGGCCGCCAAGAAGATTGCGAGCACATGGCCGCACATTGAGCATGTGCCATGTGCCACGCATGTCCTGGACCTGATGATGGAAGATATGGGCAAAATGGGATGGGCGAAGGGGCTTGTGGAGAAAGGAGGGGAGATGATTACCTTCGTGCGCAACCACCACTTTACCCGTGCCTATATGAAGAAAGTGGGGGGGAAGCAGGTGCTCAAGCCTGCGGGAACCAGGTTCGGGACACAATACATAGCCATGGCCCGGCTATGTGAGGTGAGGAGTGGGCTGGCGGCGATGGTGCTCAGCGACGAGTGGAAGGTGTGGGCAGCGGCGGACAAGGATAGGAAAACAGCAGCTGAGAAATTCAAGGCTGCTGTGATGGATGAGGAGTGGTGGGGGGTGGCGGAGTTCTTTACCTCTCTCATGGCGGTGCCATTCAAGGCCATGCGGGCCACGGACTCTTCCGCGAAAGGCATGATGGGTAAGCTGTATGACATCATGCTACAGCTTACCGAGGACATCAATGACAAGCTCGACGCTTCAAGTGACTTCTTGACTCGGACAGAGAGGGCAGACATCACCAAGATTGTGAAGGACAGGTGGGACAACTCCCTTGCCTGCCCCATGCATGTGGTTGGCCGGATCCTGAATCCGGCCAACCAGGAGGAGGGAATTTTCAGGAACGAGGATCCGGCCAACCAGGAGGAGGGAATTTTCAGGAACGATGTGGAGTGCACGCGGGTGTTCAAGGACTACATCGAGCGCCACTATGACAACAAGACCTTCAAGCGTGGCAAGGATGGCGCCCCTCGCCGCGCCTCCCTTGTGCTGCAGGAGGCATTGCTGGCCTACATCAACATGGAGGGCAGCTTTGGCAAGCCGGGCGCCATTTCTGCAAGGGAGGCAGTGAAGAAGGGGGAGATGAGCATGGTGCAGTGGTGGTCGTGGCACAGCACCGAGTATCCTGAGCTTGCCGCCCTCGCATGCCGGGTGCTCACTCAGCCCGTCTCGGCTTCCCCATGCGAGCGTGGCTGGGCGCAGTGGGAAGGCGTCCACACCGCCCGCCGCAACCGGCTCGGGTCCGCCAAGTGTGCGGACCTCGTCTACATTGCGCACAACTGGAACGTTGTGCGCAATTGGTACAAGAAGGATGGGGGCAGCACGGTTGTGCCCGGTAACATCCCGGATGCCCCTATCCCCCCCGGCTATAACATGGATGAGGAGGAGGATGACATGCTGGGGGAGGAAGGAGAGGATGCAGTGCTGGCGGATTAGTATGGGGAAGGTGTGGTGGTGGAAAAGCCCCGCAAGGAAATCGGTTGTGGGGAAGCTAGCTAGAGGGTGGGGTGGGGTGGGGATGTATGGGGAGAAGTAGCCCCAAATATGTATTTCTGGATATTTCTGAAATTTAAATTATGACTTGTGTTCTTGGAAAACAATCCCCACCCCTGAAACAGGAATTTTTAGCCCTGCCCGGGAAAAAAGTTTTACCTGCCCGCCCAGCGTATTTTTGCGTATCACCAGTACGCCAGCCATGGCGTACCGCGTATATACCCAGCGTATAATACGCTAGCGTATTATACCCTGGGACGCGTATCTGCCAACGTAGCCTGCTTCCCCCCATCCCCTTCCCTGCTTCTCCCCATCCCCTTCCCTGCTTCCCCCCATCCCCTTCCCTGCTTCCCCCCATCCCGTTCCCTGCTTCCCCCCATCCCCTTCCCTGTCTCCGTGTTACCCGTTTCCTTGTTCCTTTTCCCTGTGTCTCCCCACCCTCTGTTCTTATTCCTTCACCCTCGCACACCTTACCGCCTGCCGACCTTACCGCCTGCCCACCTTACCACCTTCCCTTCTCATCCGCGCGCAGGTGTGGCGGAAGGCGCATTCCCTTGTGCCTGCCGCTTGCTGTCCACGCCTTCCATCCCACCTCTCCCAAACCACGTCTTTTTCTATATGTGCCTCCCCTGCTGGCCCATACCCTCTGCTGATCTGCGCCCTATGAGGCCGTGCCCTCTCTGTTCCCCGCCCCTGCATGTACGGAGGGATTGGGAGCCGCTTTGCCTAGCAGCCAGCACTGTGCAGGCAAGGATTCGAACTGGTGGATCATGGGGCAAGGGTAAGGAAGTGTGTTGTGCGGCATGGTCAGTGCGGAGTGGCGTGGGAGGGAGGCAAAATGGCAAGCATAGGGTGAAGGCAGGCAGGGGCCGTGGCAAAAATATGCAGATTGGCAGTGTCAGCAGGATGTGCGGCAGGATGCTGGCGGCAGCGCACGTCAGGGCATGTGCGGTGGGGCAAGGCTGGTCTGCGCTGCGGTGGGCCGGGGGAGTGCAGATTGGTGCAGGGAAAGGCACGACATGTTCCTATGTGGCCGGCCGAGACCCTTATATGTTGCGGGATCTGAGCTTGAGAGTGTACGCTTGGAAATGTATTGCTAATGTGTTTCTTGATATGTAATTTTCATGATTCACAACTTGCTTTTCTATGCCAATTCAGCACTTGAATTTTTTATGTTATTCTGAGGTGAAGTCTCAAACTTATCCAAATATTTTAGTCGATTAGTAATCACAGGAAATATTGTTCAGTGTACTGCCTCACTCTTACTCGCGAGTTTCGCGTTCCCCACCATTTCAACCCCAAGAGAAGCGCAGTGTGCCCCACCAGTGCTGGGGCGGGAGCAGTGCTCTGTCGCACACTGGGTCGTTCGGCCCTCCCATATCCTCGGGGACAGCTGTTGCATAGTATCGTGGCGAAGACTTTTTCCCGCCTCCTGAATTCGGTTTCGCCCCACACACATTTTCGAAATTCACGATTTTCAGGTTTTCGCCTAACTGTTTCAACCCCACATAACTTGAAAAATTACCATGCTGAACTCGGGCTTTAAATTGTTTCTCTACAATAATTATTCATTTAGCCATGAGATTTCACACTGACAAAATCAGCATAAACCTACCCCCGAACACTGATTTGGTCACAACTTTGGGCAAGGCGCACTGATCCATCAGCATGCTGAAACCAATCTGAGGGTCTGCTAGACAATAATGTCCTCATCGTACACGATAACGCATATGCATGCTAGATAACAATAACTTGTGTAGATAATCTACGGTACGAGGCAGCGGGAATGGCAGGGCGCAGAGCAGCGGCAGGGCAGGGGGCATGGAAGAGCGCGCAGTGCAATGGGGCTACTACACGATGATTTCCTCGTCATATACGGGGCTCCCACACCCCGGCGACAGGGCATCCAGAATGCGCCATGAGTCGGTCCTCTTGTCAAACTCCTGCCGACATGCATGGTGGGCAGGGGGGTTGACAGAGAGCAGGGCAGGAGAGTGGGGAACGAGGGAGGGGGATGGCAGTGCACAGAGCAGGAGAGTATGGAGGGGGGGCGGATGGGAGGGCACAGAGTAGGAGAGCGGGAGGGGAGATGGCGGGCACAGAGCAAGAAAATCGGGGGAGGAGGGGGTTAGAACGGTGCAGACCAGGAGAGCAGGGAAGGGGAGGGGGATGACAAGGCACAGAGCAGGAGAGCGGGGGAAGGGGAGCGGGATGACAGGGCGCAGAGCAGGAGAGTGGGGGAAGGGGAGCGGGATGACAGGGCGCAGAGCAGGAGAGTGTGGGGAGGAGGGGAGTGGCAGGACGTAGGGCAGTGGCGGGGCAGGGGGGATGGAAGGGCGCAAAATCAAGGGGATGGCAGGGCGCAGAGCAAGTGAGAGGGGGAGAGCTCACAGTGCGCAGCACTCTGAGGTCGGGCAGAGAGGCGAAGGCGGCACTCTCGAGGGCGTCTGTCTGCCACACATCCTCGCCTGCCTCCTGGAATAGCGGCTCTATCTCCACCAGCCCCAGGTTCTGGCAGCTCGCGGAGGGGTTCAGAGGGGTTAGGAGAGGTCCAGCGACCAAAGGTGCAGAGGAGAGAGCTGAGAGATGAGGGCAGTCAGAGCAGTTGCTAGAAACCACCTTCGCTGCTTCTGACTCTACGGCTGTGTCTCCACCAGCTACATACACCTCGATAGGGAGGAGATTGGGATGACGGAAATGTGAGGCAGGAAAACAACGGGGGAAGCGAATGCAATGAGGAAAGTATGTAGGCAGAAAAGGGCATAGACGAGACGCAGCACGCATGCATGAATCAACAAACGCTCGACACACTTGATGCACGGACATCAGAGGCTCTTCTCACACTTGATGCACGGACATCAGAGGCTCTTCTCACCTCGGGTGGGAGCTTGTGGCGATCGCCACGGTCTGTTGGAGGGACAAGGGGAGGTGGTAGTGGCGGATTGGGGGGTTCTGCTGGCAGATGAGGAGAATGTGCTGGCAGATGAGGAGAATGTGCTGGCAGATGAGGAGAATGTGCTGGCAGATGAGGAGAATGTGCTGGCAGATGAGGAGAATGTGCTGGCAGATGAGGAGGATGTGCTGGCAGATGAGGAGGATGTGCTGGCAGATGAGGGAGCAAGCTTCGGGTGCTATGTGCAGACGAGGTAATTGACCATAAGGGAGGCAACACAGAAGAAGCAGTGGGTGGCAGGGTGGAAGAGAGCAAGACAAGGGGCGTGGCAGGGAAGCAGCGCACCTTTATTGCGGCCAACCACGAAGCCAACGCCTGTACGCACATGGAAAGGGAGGAAGAGGAGATGAAAGGAGAAGAACACGGCAGGGCTGAGTGATGTGATACGGCGACACGTCAGGCCGAGAGAGGACTAGAGAGGGCACGAGTGGGCAAGAAAGGGCAAGAGAGAGAGAGGGCACGAGAGGGCATGAGAGGGCAAGAGAGGGAAAGAGAGGGCAATAGAGGGCAAGAGAGGGCAAGAGAGGGCAAGAGAGGGCAAGAGGGGGCAAGGGAGGGCACGAGAGGGCAAGAGCAGAGGCTGACCTTTGGTGCGGCCGTCATCGAATCTGTCCCTGACAGCAGCAGAGAGTGGGTACTCCACCACATCGCCTGTCACCGCCTCCACCACCCCTGCCCCTGCTGCCCCCGCTCCTTGGCCCTCCCCCTCGCCCTCACTCTCGCTGTCTGACGACCACCTGGTTGCTGCTGCCTGCCTCGCGTCGCCCTTGCGCGTCCTGCCATGCAGCAAGGGGGGTTATGCAGCAAGGGGGGTTATGCAGCAAGGGGGGGTTATGCAGCAGGGGGGGTTATGCAGCAGGGGGGGTTATGCAGCAGGGGGGGTGCAGCAGGGGGGGTTATGCAGCAGGGGGGGTTATGCAGCAGGGGGGGTTATGCAGCAAGGGGGGTTATGCAGCAGGGGGGGTTATGCAGCAAGGGGGGTTATGCAGCAAGGGGGGTTATGCAGCAGGGGGGGTTATGCAGCAAGGGGGTTATGCAGCAAGGGGGGGTTATGCAGCAGGGGGGGTTATGCAGCAGGGGGGGTTATGCAGCAGGGGGGGTTATGCAGCAGGGGGGGTTATGCAGCAAGGGGGGGTTATGCAGCAGGGGGGGTTATGCAGCAGGGGGGGTTATGCAGCAAGGGGGGTTATGCAGCAGGGGGGGTTATGCAGCAAGGGGGTTATGCAGCAAGGGGGGGTTATGCAGCAGGGGGGGTTATGCAGCAAGGGGGGGTTATGCAGCAGGGGGGGTTATGCAGCAAGGGGGGTTATGCAGCAGGGGGGGTGGCAGCAGGGGGGGTTATGCAGCAGGGGGGGTGGCAGCAGGGGGGGTTATGCAGCAGGGGGGGTGGCAGCAGGGGGGGTGGCAGCAGGGGGGATTGTGTGAGGGGGTGTACAGCATGCTGCACATGGTGCACGCTTCATGCCACATGGTATGTCTCCTACTCGCGACATGCCACATGCTGCTCGCCATATGCCATATCCCGCTGCCACTGAACACATGCCACGTGGCACCATGGCACATGCAGATAGCGGCACAAGGGATTGCAGAGATGACCTCAAACCACCCTCACGCTTCCGTCATGCCACCCAGCACTAGCACTGACGACCCACCCAACAGTAACTCATCACACATGTGAGCACTTGCTGTCTTCCCACCCAGCAAGGCTCAGTGACATGACACTGGGAGAAGGTTGTCAGCGTGTGCCTTCCCAAGACACTCACCTTGCAGTCACCACCTGCACCTTTACTGGCGGGGCCCACTCATACCACGTGGATTGAACACCTTGTGCTGAAACAGCCACTTGCACTGGCAGACCCCACCTCACCTCACCTCACGGACACCTCACCTCGACTCATAGCGGCTCACTGACATCACACCACACCACCCGTGTCCCACTAGACTGCCTCACTTGCGCTGGAACGGCTGGAACTCGTCCCACGTGTCAAACGCCTCCCACGCCGCTCCCTTGCGCTGTGCGCTGCCCTCTCTGCCCGCCATAAAGTCGCGGCTCAGCGCTGCCGCCCCAAACCGGTCGTACAGCGCCCGTTGCTCCTCGTCCACCAGCACCTGATGGGGGGCGGGGGGGGAAGGGTGGGAGGCGCGAAGTACTGGCGTGTGATTTTTCAGTCGACTCAGCGCTGCTGCCCCAAACCGGTCGTACAGCGCCCTCTGCTCCTCGTCCACCACCTGATGAGGGCGGGGGGCGGGGCGGGGAGCGGGGCGGGGAGCGGAGAGGAGTGGGAAGGTGTGTGCAGTGGCGTGTGTTAGGGTGTCATACAGGGCCTTGTGCTCCTCATCCACGGCCCACCAGCACCTGATGGAATGGGTGCGTTGTGGGGGAGGGGGAGGACCAGTGGGTGGGAGGGGCTTTGCAGTGGTGCATGTTGCAGTGAAGTGAAGGTGCGTCGTATCGTGTCGTACAGCGCCCTCTGTTCCGTTCCTCATCCACGCCCACCAGCGCACTTGAGAGTATCCTACAAGGGGGGAGAAGTGGGAGGGGCTGTGTACTTGAGAGCGCATTTACAAATGACTGCCCATCGTCCAGGATTACAAGTGCTGTGCGCGCTGTGGGAGCGAGTGAATGGTATGTCGTGACGTGTGGCCAACAGCTAGGGAGAGATACCGACTGGCGATGGCGGCTTTGGAGTTGGGTCGGCAGGTGGAGGCGAGTGGGTGGAGTGGAGTGAGCAGCATTGAGACTGCGCAGACAGTCTTGGAGGATGATTATAACGAGGCAAGCGCAGGCAGTGGTGAGAGCAGCCCGTTACCTCGTACGCGTTACTGAGCTGAATGAAGGTGTCTGCCGCCCCCGGGTCGCTGTTGACATCTGGGTGGTACTGTAGGGAGGGAGGCCGCGAGGGAGGCGGGGAGGGAGGACGAGGAGGGCAGGGAGGAGACAGATGCGTGGAAGAAATGAGGCAGAGACGAGGAAGAGAGGGGGCAGGATGGGAGTGAGGGACGGGAAACCAGGAGCGACTGTGATTGGAATGCACTTGGCCACTGTGGGAGGTACACGTGTGCGTCATGACGTGTACGGAGCCGCCACCGACCGTTACTACTGGCCTACAGCGTCGTCGGCGGTATGAGCGAGTCGCGGTGGACATTACGCGAAACGGAACGCCAACGGGCCGTGACTATACGGAGAGTGACAGCAGAGGGGTGTGAGGCAAGGACGTGGCTTGTGCTTGCTTAGAGTGGCTCTATCTCTCTCTTACTCTCTTTCTCTTTCTCTCTTTCTCTCGAACCGAATACAACACTCAGCTTGAAGCGCCAGCTTGCGGAACGCGCGTTTCAGCTCAGTTTTATCCGCGCTACAATCAACCCCGAGAAGCCCGTACAAGTCCACGTCCGCATCTGCAGCGACATTCGTTCCCGTCGCGGAGACAATCGCCAACCGACGACGCGAAACCGCAGATCCCGTGCGTCTCCCGCCGACAGCAGCAACGCCGTCGCGAGATGGCAAACGAAGCGAACGGCCAGTGCAGGCGAATTGGGTGCACGGCGCGGGCTCTTGCGCTTGCGGTCGGCATTGTTTTTCACGGTTCTGGTACAAGCTCCTGGTCTGATACAGCGTAGCGGGAATCGCGGTGGATGCCATGGTCACGTTCTATCCCTTGGCAGACGAGCAGGTGCGAAGAATGGGTGAGGCCTGTTTTACTTGGCTTTGAAATAACAATGGTGGAGGTGGCGGCTTGGACTGTAAATGAATCTGCGCCATTCAAACTCATGCATGTAGGGATCACCCCAAGGCGGCGCGCTGACGGGGAGCCACATGGCGGTGGGGAAATCGGATAGATGTTTTCGATTTGAGCTCACTCTTTGACATGCTTAGGCATCTTCAAAGCAGTTATAATCTAATCTCTCCGTTTAGAGAATGAACATTCATATGTTCCGGGAAAATAATGATTGCACTTTTTCTGAATATATAAAGAAACTAGCATCGGATTTTCAATTCACTTTATTCTAATATCAGATAATATTGTGTACGCTGCTAATATATTTATTCATTTCCATAAGCGAATCCTACCTGGAAATGACCCACCGCTTTGGCCTAAACTAGCAATTCGCCCTCACTCGCAAACCCTAGCCTCCATCCCTCGTCGACTAAAACCCTCCATCCTCTTCAATCCTTCCTTTCCTTGACCTACTACTTCCTCCTGCTTTCACGTGCTTTGCTTCCACTACCTCCCACTTCCCTCCGTCTTCACATTCGTCGCGCCATGGCTTACCCCAACGCGTCCGACGACCTGGTGTGGGTGCTGCTGAACCAGGGCCACTGCTACAAGGCGCGCACGGCCGTCGGCTCCAAGCGCCACCTCAGCCGCGAGCCCAACAACCTCGTCGCGCTCCACTCGCGCAAGTACACCGGTACGCGCCCCCGCAAGTGCGCAGATGCGCGCTGACGCGTCCTGATCCGTTTGAAGCAGTTTTTTTGCAAACTTTGCTAACGCAGCATATCGGATGTTGCAATAAGCGGATGTTGCAATAAGTGGATATCGCAAAAGCGAATGTTGCAACAGCGGGGCGTGAGGTGATGAGGTAGCACGAGATGATTATCGGTTTATGGCTCGATTAGCGCCACGCGATTAGACGAATATCAGGCCGCACTGCCATCCGTCGAGTCCGCCGCTCAGAGTCGCATTTCCGTGTTATGGGGAGCACCGGAGACGTTCTCGCAGCTGTTTTTGTGACCCAAAAAGGGACGCCTGTGTAACAACTTTTCCGGCGCCTCATTAATCGCGAAAGGGGGCGATTTAAGTAGCTACCAGATGTATTTGGAGAAGCAGGCGGATCCAGGATTTTTCGAATCCAAACCTTTTCTTTTGAATTCAACATCGGCGCGCAGAGATCGTGGAAAGCCGCTGCATCGAACATGGGGCATCGCGCCGTTTCTCGTTTCGTCGGCAGGTCACACCAGCCCGCACTACCCTCTTCCCCCCTCCCAAACCAGGCCTGGTGTCGGGAAAGACAGTGGCGATCCACACGAAGGGCAAGCGGCAGAACCTGGAGATGAGGGAAGCTTGTCTCCTGCACTCCCTCCCCTCTCCTGTCCACGCGCTGGCGAACCTTCTGCATCCCACTCTATCCCCCTCCCCACCTATAACCAGGTCTGGCGGCGGGCAAGACGGTGGCGATCCGCGCAACGGGCAAGGGGCAGAACCTGGAGATGACGATCACGCACCCCGACAAGGCGCACAAGCCCGCCGAGGCGCGCGAGGTGATCGTGCTCAAGAAGGACATGCCGCAGATCGCCAAGAACATCACGGACCGGGTGCGTTATACGCAGCGAGGATGAGGTGCGGACAGGTTGCGTTATAAGCAGCGAGGTTGAGGTGCGGACCAGGTGCGTTATAAGCAGCGAGAAGGAGCTTCGTTATAATATCAACTATCAGTTGCGTTCAGGGCACCAGTGGTAGTAGTGCGCGCTGATAGCAACACCCACTAGTGATCAGCCCTCCCCTCGTTCCTCCCTCCCAAGGCTCCTCTCCAATCCCGGCACCCCCCCTCCGCTCAATTCCACCCTCCCCGCCCTCTGTCTGCTGTACCCCCACAAGCTGGGAAGTCAGCTCAGGCGTTTCCATTCGACACGCATCTCCTGCACACAACTTTCTCCGCACTCCGCAACGCCTCTCCCTTCCCCCATCCCATATCAGCTGAGCTGAATACATGCGAGCCATGGCTGATCAAGGCGGTACTGTACTGACACACTGCATTGCACCAATCAACCCCGATTCCCTACTCTACTCCAAATCACTTCTACCCGCCCCCCTCCCCTCTCTCTTCCCCAGTTCCCATCAGCTAACGACATACGAGCCGCGGCTGAACATTGCAGTGCTGACATACCCCTACCCCTATTCCCCTCTTGCGCACTCCTCATCCTCACTCCTTTCCCCCCATCCTCCCTTCCTTTTCCCCCCTGTTCCCCCCCAACAGCTAAAGACGTATGAGCCGCGGCTGAACAAGGCGGCGCTGACTTACGGCTACAGCCTGCACTTCACCCATCTCGTGCTATCCCTTTCTCCCCTTCCCCGCTCCCCCTCTCCTCTCCTCCCCCCCCACCTCCCCCCAACAGCTAAAGACGTACGAGCCGCGGCTGAACAAGGCGGCGCTGGCCTACGCCTACAACCTGCACAAGGCGCTGCGCCGCAGCGAGAGGGGGCAGGTGGGCACCGGCTCCAAGCACGTCGCCGTGCGCTGAAGCCCCCACAAGCCACATGCACTGCCTAGTGCTGCCTGAGTGACTGCTGAGCTGGCCAGAGCTTAAGCTATAGCTGGTTTTGAAGCCTACAGTTATGGGGGTTGTGATGTCGTTTGTTGGAAGCGGCATCGGTTACATTAACTAGGTGCAAGTGCTGTAAGAAATGCCTTTTTTCAGATTTGAAGCTGCTCCTTCATGCCAAACATAGTTGATGTTGCTTGTTTGGGTTCTTCATGAGCCTACAACTGAGGTTTGGAAGCAGGAGTAGACAGAGATGGAGAGGGCCGGGCAGCGGGGCTGGGCCGCAGGTTGCCAGTCAAAGGGCACTAGTACAGTATATCAATCTGTGCTTTCACGTAGTCTGCGATATTTGAACATGGGTATAAGAAATTTGGTATTGCATGGTGACATATGGAGAGTGGGGCGATATTATTATCAACTCTACCGAGAGCGGGAAAAGGGGATAGGGCGGAGTGCAAATACACGCACGACTTCGCTATTGACGAGGATGTGATTCTCCCTCCCGTTTTCCTTTTCTCGACTTTTGCGACACTCGCCTTGAGGGCATTCTTCAGTGCGACACCACGTTACTCTTTCGCGATCCACTAGGAACAAACAACTGATACCCATGAGACTATTGTTGTTCTTGTTATCGTCACCTCACCAACAAAACTTCCACCATTTGCAAACGTCGTGAAAACTGTAGAATAGCGATGTCCCGTCCTTGAACCCCCGACAGCAAGAGCGAATCGCGGATGGTAGTCGCACGGTTGGCTCGCGGTTAACGACAGGAGATCGTCGATGACAGGAGAAACAGGATCCAAATTGCGATCGGTACCTACTTGCGGCCTGAAGCTGCAATGTTCACAGCATATGCTGTGGCTGCCTCGGCCGGCTTTTCCTGAGGCAAACTGTAACGCCTGTGGGCTGTGTTAAGGGCACTCCGCTGCGCCAAATAACACCCTCGTTTTGACCCAGTGGGTAGCGAGGTGTTATACTGGTTTTAGAGCCTAGGGTTCGAATTCCGGCTGGTCCACACTTTCCACCTATAGTGAGAACTGAAGTGTGGTTACCAGCTCGAACCCAGTGAACGATCCTGAAATCTAGGTCCCAGCGGCAGGGGGGCGACTCCCTGAAGTCCGAGGCCAACGGGGACGTTGGCACCAGGGGGGGACGAGTGTAACGCCTGTGGGCTGTGTTAAGGGCACTCCGCTGCGCCAAATAACACCCTCGTTTTGACCCAGTGGGTAGCGAGGTGTTATACAAACGCAGGGAGATGTCCGACCTGCCAGCCGAGTATGATGAGGGGCAAGCTTCGCTCCGAGGGGCATCAGACCGAGCCTTCGGCAAGACGCCTGACCATCATTCAAAGAGTCATCGTGCGATCACGTCGTCTGTAACGCGCAGGAGCCATGGCTCGTCTCTCTCTTGCGCTGCTGTTGCTTCTGCTGCTGGCAGGTAAGGTTATCCCCATCCGATGACAGATCTGCAAAAGGTGTGGCTCCGAATTGCAGCCGGGATCTGAAGTATCCCCAGCGCATCTTTCTAGACTCTCCAAAACGTCGAAAACGCGTCGTTTGCTGACAGCAATCTGGAAATTGTTTCGATCTGAACAGTCCTGCTCGATCTTAACTCTAACTAGTACCAGTACTAGCAGTTAGGGTTGCTCGGCATCAAGTCATGCGGAACCTTGAGGAAATAATGACGCGTCATTTGCTGCCCTTGAGACGACTTCAATGGTCTTATTCTACCAACCTGCTGGCATGGGCTTGGGGGTTTTTCTAGTACCTGTGCCCCTTGGGGGGAAGTTGCGCTCTTGCTGCTATGCGGTGCCTGCTCTACCAGTTGAAGAACACAGCCTGGTAGAGCAACACGGTATTTTTGAGAATTCTCAAAATAACCCTG